TCTATATGCATATAGTAGTGAAACAATATATCTGCAATTTTTTACAAGTGGAGACAACGGTTTCACAGAGTGTTCTATGCATGGTGATGTGTAATACACGTGTTTTTCTTTCTATGTATAGACATCATCGCCTGTGTTGATCCCGACGTTTGTTACGAAGCATGTGGCAGCTACAACGGCTGTTCTGATGTCGCCTATCCATATCTTATTTTGACGTTGATGCCAACATGTAAGTTCAAACTTGTTTTATGCCATTTGAGAATTGTTGTAAGTTGCCGTCTTTTTTTTTTACAGACGGTTAGTGTAGTGTGGTGAGATATGCGTCTACTTGCAGCGCTTTTACTCAGCTGTGGATTCATAGCTATTTTTGTGCTGTCCTTTTGTATTTCTAATGTCATTTTAGTCATTTCTGATATATTTGGTATTCTTAAAATTGTTATTTTTGGATTTTATCGACACAGAAGAACTATGGTTCCCCCCCACAGACTTGTGTAACACAAACGTGCGACGCCAAATGGCAAAGGATATGAACCCACAGCTAGTTTTACGTCATAAGTATATTATATAATGTAATTTTTATTAAGCTCAATGCACATACTCATTTGAATACACAACTACACTACACTAAACGATGGTCATCGTGTCGTCGCGCCGCATCGGAATGGGTCCATGCGGCGTATACAATACTCGCAATAAGCCGAAAATTCAAGCGCGCTGTACGACCGCGACGCTCTGCGTTTATCGCCACGCATGTTGCAATGTTTTTCATTCTCTCGCAGTTTTGAAAGGTTTAATGCTTGCCGCCATGTTGGCTGGGGTGATGAGCTCTTTTACATCGATATTCAATAGTGCGAGTAGTATATTTACCATCGACATTTGGAAGACGATGAGACCGAAGTGTAGCAACAAAGAAGAAATGATTGTTGGCAGGTAATTTAAAGTTGTAATACAATATTTGTCTTTGCATTTCTACTACTTTTCCAGGGATGAGAAAACCCTGAATATATTACAGGGCGGGTAGTCGTCGCGCCACGCATGCGCGAGATATATGAGTGTCATATAAACAAATTAAAGATGGCGGCTTTGGCTGTTGCGCAGATCAACGATTGCAAACTATGGAAAGCCACAGCTATCTTAAGTCGTACAATATCATATTGTGTAGTGCATTTACCATGTCATGCGGTGCATTTATCATGTTATGTAGTGCATTTACCTTGTTGTGTAGTGCATTTGCGATGTTGTGTAGTGCATTTATCATGTTATGTAGTGCATTTATCATGTTATGTAGTGCATTTATCATGTTGTGTAGTGCATTTACTATGTTGTGTAGTGCATTTACTATGTTGTGTAGTGCATTTACTATGTTATGTAGTGCATTTATCATGTTATGTAGTGCATTTATCATGTTATGTAGTGCATTTATCATGTTGTGTAGTGCATTCATCATGTTGTGTAGTGCATTCATCATGTTGTGTAGTGAATTTACGATATTGTGTAGTGCATTTACTATGTTATGTAGTGAATTCACTATGTTATGTAGTGCATTTACCATGTTATGTAGTGCATTGACCATGTTATGTAGTGCATTTATCATGTTATGTAGTGCATTTATCATGTTGTGTAGTGCATTTACTATGTTATGTAGTGCATTTATCATGTTATGTAGTGCATTTATCATGTTGTGTAGTGCATTCATCATGTTGTGTAGTGCATTCATCATGTTGTGTAGTGCTTTCATCATGTTGTGTAGTGCATTTACGATGTTGTGTAGTGCATTTACTATGTTATGCAGTGAATTCACTATGTTATGTAGTGCATTTACCATGTTATGTAGTGCATTTATCATGTTATGTAGTGCATTTACCACGTTATGTAGTGCATCTATCAATTACGGAATTGACATTTACAACACCGCACTCGATAAAATTAAATCGTATTAATTATAAACAAATTTAATTTGGGGTTACCTGTGGTTGCTGTTACTGTATATTTGTATAAACACTTATAAATGCAGTTGTATAGATTCGATACCACACCCTATGTAGGAAACTGATCGGTGGGCTCTCAAATCAATGCGATGTCACATTCAAAGTTTATGTCGTTTGTCGGAT